CGGGACCTACCTCCAGTAGCGGTGAAGGTAATTAAGAGCAAGATCCTTCCCAGAGAAGTGGCCACCTCTCTTTTTAAGTTGCATTAAAAGCGCGTGTGATGCCAAGAAACCACTTTTCAATGAAAAAGAACAACGTTATCTTAAACAATAGAAATATATTTACCTTGGTGAAATCATTTATTAACGATATATGTAGGTAGTCAATGAACAACTGCAATTTGAAATGACGTCTTTACTAATTATAAAATATAAAACGTAAGCAGAGAAAAACTGAGCGACAGAAAAGTAAACCACCAAAGTAAACCACCTAAAAAGTACTCAATGACAAAGCTGTATCTAGAATCGTCCTCTCATGGCAGGCCAGCTGCCTGTATATGCTGGCGTACCGGCTTGCTTTCCGTGCTCGTTGCGTTGGAGCTTGCCAGCCGTAAGCTAATCAGATACTCCTCGTCCTGCTGTTAGATAAAAAAAGTTACCAGCCAATCACATTGCTTCTTGATCGTATACGGCGGTGTGATTGGCTGACAGCCGTCCCTGAAACAACAAGCCCGTGAGAGTTTATGATTGGCTGACAGCCTACCAGAACCAATGCAGGGAGAAACACGAATGGCAGCCAGGTACGCAAGGACCGTTGCTTTACGCAAACGAGCGTAAGGCTTCGTATGAGAGAATGTGTAAAACCTGAGGTAGCTGTACATACCCGAGAACAAGAAATGTATCTACCGCCAGATCGTATGCCTCAATGATAAAGAACCACCACTCCCGGTCACGAACATCATATTCGGACCTATTGCCTGTGAAAAACATTATTGCAGCTTAAAGAAAAAGAAAAGGAAAAAAACTGACATTTCAGACAGGTGTCGAGTTTTCGTGAACTTCAAGTTTACAGACTTCCAGGACGTGTTTTGGGGCTTTTGTGAATGTATGGGAACCGTGGAGGTTGCTGTATTATGTGATTAAATCAGGTATTAAACCACCTCCTGAATTCCTCCACATACCGCTCTCATCCACCGCATACTGAGTCACATTTAACTGTCAAGGTCATCTCCAACATCCATGTGAAGTGTAAGCAGAGGCACAAACACACGACTCAGCCACCTAAAACAATACTTCCATCCCCAAAGTAGCACTTCTACTCTGCTATTATACCTCGTCGTAGTAGTAGTCATGTGTGCACATTTTAAAGTTATCTTAACAGTTAGATGTCATCATATATATGAAACAATTACTTTTTTTTGTAATATTTCAATGATTTTTTCTCTAAATTACAGTACAGCAGCAGATACGCCGGTATCACAGATTAGGCACTTTATACCATTAAAATTATTCTAAAAGCAAAGAATCAAGACGGCTATCCAACCACACACAAGAAGAAATTAGGAGCATTTGTCACTTGACCAAAACAGTGCCGCTAACCCACAATGCGTCCTGACAAAATCAACACAATGCTTAAAACTCACCTATGTTGGCGATAAAGTTAACATAAAAGTCCATGTGCCCTAAGATGATCCAAAACGCACTCAGAACCCGGAGGCCGTTAAGGAATGGGAGTTGTCCGGGCAGTTGGCGGATGTCAAACACTTTCTTTGTGTTGGTGTATGCAGAAAAACACAGGAGCAAGCGACCGAACTTTGCTGGAAAGAAAAAAAATTAAACAAGTTAATTGAATGAAACGAAAGAGAATAAAAGAAACTAAGGGTTAATAACTTTCTTTTGCGTCGGTGTACATGGTATCATAATTCCTGGTCAGTGGTCAATAAACCCCGAATAAATAGTCGAGTGAGCGAAGTGAAGTTGATACTTCATATCCCTAGAAATTGCAAAGCTAAGGTCAATACTTGTGATACCTACCATTGTGCAGCTAACGTAGATGCTTTCGATACCTATACGTTGTATTCCTGAAGGCTATACTTTTGAAAGCTTCACATTGTGTGGATATGATCTAAGTTTTAGTTCTATCACCTATATGATACATAAAGTAATTACTTGTGCTATCTATACATTATGCAGCTAAAGAAGATACTTTTGATGCCTACACACTACATAGCTTGAGTCGAAGCTATCAATAATAGTTTTGATATAGAGAAATTTGATACTTTTGCTACCTATACATCCTAAATCAAACTCATTGTCTTCAGATATGTGAGGAAGAGTATATACATTAACGGATAGTAAATATTTCTCTGCATTTCCTTGCAAGTAAAAAGTGTGCATAATGTCCTGATGAAATCAACTGAAATAATGTTTACTTACATTCTGGTGAAGATTTTGTCCCCTCTGATGTGGTGACTATGAACTCGTAAACTGTACCAGCACTGACCAGCAAACAGACAAAGAATGCTAACACCCTGAAAAACATACAAAGGGACATTCATATTGAATCAAAGGGGCTTTCTGTGACTTGTTAAAGATATTGGACTCCAAGCAGAACTTGCTAAGGCCACAGCACGTAAATTTTATAGATGACATTGTCCACAGACTCCAAATCTAATGCGATAGGGCGAAAAAAATACAAGCCAGGCCCGAAAAAAACAAGATTCCTACATTTTCAAATTTTGACATCATAAACCTTGTTCAATAAGAAATTATACACATATTGTGCTAAGTTTACTGCCAACTATTGCAACATCCATTTGTAATTGTCACTGAAACAACTTAACAAATGGTACAAATGGTTAGATTCAGTGGAAACATCACATATACACAGCCAGCATCACATAAAAGGAATAAAATACTTCACTGCATCAATTTAGTAGTAAAAGACAAAACAATAAATCAGAGCATTGTCTTGTCTCCTCTCTTCGTATCCATCTGCCATCCACGTTTCGGCATGGAAACAGACATCTTTGCCCATTTTCGGCATGTTGGCCACTGTCAGAGAGCAACTAAATTACTTTTTTTTTTCTAAAATCAGGTGAAACTTGATGTCATCCATTAAAATTACTATTGTCTGTTTTTAGAGAGAAGAGAGAGAGAAAGTACATTTTATCAGCACTGAATTGACTTTCCTCTCTTATAAGAATGACTTCTATCTGTCAACTTACGCTGGAACAATGTATAAGTCCGGCGATATCCATTCATATACCTCCCCCTCAAAGGTCACAGCTGCTGATGTCTGCGATGACATTGAAACTAGAATAATAAGAACCAACAACGGTCAAGAATCTGGGGAAAGTTCCTATAATCTGAAAATATTGCACATAGATTTATTGATCTACTTATTATTAAAATCGTTCAGAATATTCCAATATCATATGGATGAAATTCACTGATAAGAATATAGTGCACATGTATCTCCCTTTGTGGGCGTCTATGTGTTTACATGCAAAGCATACAGGCATATCATAAGCCTACAAGCATATCATATGGGGATTCTGGCGACAACAGACTACTGTATTAGGGGTCATGAAGGTCCCAACGACAAAAAAAGCCGCGTGCAGTGGATCACAGTGGATCATAGGTTGCAGAAAGTCTGTGGCGCCCCCGTCTCTGTTGAGGGATTGTTGTAATGCCCTGATGTAGATAGCCTCTTTAACCCCTCGTGCAAAAAAAGTCACTCCTTTGTTTGGATCACAATCACAAATTCAAGATACGCTTGAGGGCTGCCAGAAACGTCACAACTAACACGGGTTGTAGAGGTCACTGCACCTGAAGGGTCTGGTAGAACTAGATTTTCTAGTCTGTCTCTAGCGTTAGCGCCATACGTGACCTAACTGATAAACATCAGGCTGAAAGCCAGCAAAAATAAGTACTACAAAGTATTATAAATCACTTTGTATTATATACATTTAGCGAACCACTGATCAACCAGGGTTGTGCATGGCAGCCTTAACAGATTTTCCTCATCATTTCCCTGTCACCATCTTTCTTAGCATATCGTTAAACGCAACGTCCTTTTTTGTACATGTACACACGCACTAATGCATGGTTGTAAATTCTACTGTATGGTGACAATATGTACTAACAAATAAAGTACAAGTTTGTGCCATAACAGAATGTGCTTTTCAGATAGGAACGGTAGCAACTTGGTGAAACAACGAAGGGCAAGAGGGGCGTCACCATGCAGCTCAACAAGTTAAAACATTGTGAATTTCTCCTACATGATAGTTTGTCTTAGTCAACATATTGTACCTACTGTGTCATATCTGTGTCTCAGTCCCGTTTCAGTTGTAAGCTAAGTCATAGACTGAATCATGTTGACTTACCTGTTTAGTACATACGTAGACGACAGCGAACAGTGGAGCCCTGATCTCATACAGGTCACTGTGTAATGAACTGGAAACTGTGCGACAAGACTAGTACTTGTGCGTGATAGGTAAAAGCTAAGGTTACACGGATCGGAGTCAAAACCTACAGTACCTTCGTTGAGAAATTTGATAAGTAGGATTTGGCTGAGAAGGATAGGTTGGGTCTACTAGCGTCTTTATTTGAAAAGCCGGTGAGCATCTTTTAAAAAACTTTGGATGATTTGAGGTTATCGTTGGACTATATATGAGTTAAGGGAAGATTCGGAAGAACCCCCCACAAGGCCGCGCTGAAAGGTCCACTTTTTATCTAAAGGTCCATGATTTTTCTTTAAAAGATGGACTGATTTGTATCACCAGCTGAATCCTAAAAAAATTGCCCAGTTTGTAATGGAATGAAAAGTTATGTCTGACTTTTCCTTTGAAATCCTCTCAAAAACGCAGGAATGCCATTCCAGAAGGTTCAATTTTCTGGGGGAGCATGCCCTCGGACCCCCCTTCGTAGCCTGGTTACCAAACCTATTCTAGCTCCTGAGTCCTACATCCTCTCCGCAAATTGCATAACAGGTTTGGTGACCAGGCTAGCCCCTTCGGCGCTCGCGGAGGTTTTAAAGTGACACCTATCGGAGTTAGCGTGAAGTGCAAGCGACGGGGAATCGAGGTCAACACGTTCCAGACCCGGAAGTATTAAAATGAAGCAGCCTTCCGAGGGGCCAACAGGGCTTTGAACCTTCTAGTCTGTGTGATTTAAGAAATCCTGACGATCTGACGAGTTTCAACCTAACTTACTATCATGCTGAATGGAAAAACAGACAACCAGTTTGACAGGGTAGCGTCATTGACTGCCGATTATGCCGAAACTCAAGCCGGGTATTCAGAATGGGCTACGAAATATGAAGAGGTAGGTTCGGACCCAAACTTTGCCGTAACCTGGTATCCAGTCTATAGTGGTTAGGTGGGTTTTCTTCGGGATTGCAGGAGCTCTTCCCCGCCCACCTGAGCTAGGTTCCCCCGGTAGGTTTTTCACGACAGGGGTTTAATTATACTCTATTAGCAAAGCTCCTACAGGTGTACATTGTCAAACTGGGGGGACTATTAAAGCCCCGAAGACAGCCTGACCCAACCACGATAGACTGGATGCCAGGTTAACTTTGCTGTGGCCCTGTGTATCCTGGGTGTATCTTAACAATTTTAGGAAAATGTAGGCTAGAACCTAAACAAGTTTGGCCAGTCATCTGTGAATTTAAAATTTAGCCAACTATCTTTTTAGTGATAGATTGTTGTCTACGTGAAATATATGAGAATATACAGATTTTGATATAAAACCACAATGTTTACAGGTTTTCCTGACTTCCAAGCCCTGAATCAGTGTTAAACTTGTCATGCAATTTACCTATAAGTCGTGTACAAAAATTATATTCACCAGTACAAGGTACACCAAATGTCTAGGCCTCGACCTGTATCTAAATATTTTTACAGGTACATGGAACTACTTTTAGTGGTAGGGGCCCAGATGTGTACATTGTTGTGAAGTCTTCAAAGTAAATGGAATCGTGTATACTTCATACACTGCAAAAAAAAGTTTAAGCATACTGTGAGCTATTTAAGGGGTCAAAGTCCGAGGGTCTTGGAAGGGGTCAAGGAATGAGCATTCCACCGCTTCCGTGACGTCACGCAGATAACACACGTGACTCCGTGAGCAGTGGATCATAGGTTGTTAAAGTCTGTGGTGCCCCCCCGTCTCTGTTGAAGGGCTAAAGAGGCCATCTACATTAGGACATTACAACCATCCCTCAACACAGACGGGGGCGCCACAGACTGTCTACAACCTACGATCCACTGCTCACGGAGTCATGTGCGTTATCTGCGTGACGTCACGGATGCGGTGGATTGTTCATTCCTTGACAAAGACTGGAGTTGTACAGTCGAAAATTTGAGTAAGTCCAATTTGTTGTGTTGGAAATTGCAGTTCAAACTTGTTCCATAAGCTTATGAACATGTTTCTGCAGGACATGACCAACATGGGATATAACGGGCCTCGGCAGATCGTCAGCCTGATGCACGATGTTCTTGGCGGGGTCATGACCCCCAGCACTGTCCGCGTGTTAGACGTACCGGCCGGGACCGGTATGGTGGGATCGGAGGTAAGGCCTAATAAAAAAATGTTCTTTTTCCTGTTTTAGTCCTGAAAAAAATTAGGGTCGGTACTGACGGTAGGTAGGAATTATTTTCCCTTTTTTCCTTAGACTTCGTTGATCCGCTCATTAAAATCAAACCAAGGAGCTCCTTGCTTATACAATAAGTAATAATAAACGACGAAGGTATGATATCTTTGACCTCTAATTTCTAAGATCAGCTGAATAGTCCATAGGCTTTATGAAAAGCAGAATAAAACTAAGCTTTGACAGGATTTTGCAATAGACCATAACACAACTATGCATATATTATGTTAATGTAGATATCATTTGCATAATTAATGAGTACATGTTGAACATAAGTATGACAAAGGAGAGGAATTTTACATGAAAAATATTGTCATTTGAATTTTAAAAAACCATAAATGAAACAATATTATGCTAATTACGGCCACATTACCATAGTCAATGAGAGAAATAAAAAATATTTACAAAAACTCATATATTTCATGTTATATACAACAGTTGCAGAAGCTTGGCTATACAAACGCAGACGGTCTGGACGCTAACGCAGATATGCTGAAAGTTGCAGAGAGTAAACATGTCTACCGGAGGCTGATAGAGACTAAACTGGGCACAGGAGAGCTACCTGTAGAGCCTAGTAAGTATCAGAGATTGGTTAACGTATGTAGATGTATGTATCATGTATTCTCTAGTAGTTTAATCATTGCGACGTCACCCCCACCCCCCCATAGTCCCAAGTTGTATGACCGGCTACTGCAACTTGTTCTTCCTGTTCTTGTTTGGGTACTGCACAACACCCCTAAATTGGGGTAAAGCGTGCAGGGGAGCTGTGCGATGCGCTATTGCTGCGTCCTCAGGTGTTGTAGTACTGCAGCGTTGAACTTCGTGGGTTCCGCAGTATCAGTTATCTCTTGGGCCAAAATGTTCCAATCTCTGACAGTTTGTGGAAAGTATGAATATTTGTAGCAGTCTTTGTGAAACGTTAGTGGCTTGTATGAGTTGGAGTTGAAGTGTCGCGATTGGCGCGGGATAGGCGTCAACAAGGTTTTGACCGGAAGGGCTGTTTTTTAGTGTCTTGCTTTTTGTAGTAATGTGAGTCTACTTGCTGTGCGTCTGTCCCACCCTAAATCTGTGACCAATTTGGTAGTGCTAGCATATGTATCATAGGTACTTGAAACGAATCTGGCCGCTCTTTTCTGGATTCTAGCTTGTGAATATGTTCCTTGTAGTACGGATCCCACGCAGCGCTACCGTATTCTAGATGTGGTCTGACTAACTCACGTGACAGAAGCGCTGGTGGGCCGGTAATGGACTGTCCCATTCAAATGCATGGAAAAATGTCAGAAAGAAGGTGTGAAAAGTCACCTACCTGAGTGAAACCGCATCAAAAGCACACATTCATAGGGTAACTCGGCCTCTAAACTGTCCATTTTGTTGATATCAAGAAATCCTATACTGCTAAAGGCATCTAAACGCTGACAAACTTTCAGAAGTGACCTTTGACCTCTATCACCAGCTGATGATGATAGCATGCAAACTCAGGACTTCTTTTCTGGCATGGACACCCCAAACATGGCACAGAGTCTTTTTTTTTACATAATCAAATGCAAATAACCCTTGCAGGGTTAAGGGTTAACAGGGAAAAGGTAGGTATCTACGCATGGTATTCTTGATAATTTTAACGTACAGGTTCATTTTCCATATAGTTCAAGTTAACGAATTATCTATATCACATGATAATAGTACCACATACGCCTTGACCTGTTCACAGATACGTACGACGCTGTTCTGTTGGTTGGCGCCTTCACTCAGAACGGAACACATCTCCCGTGTACATGTCTTGACGATCTCGTGCAGGTCACCAAACCAGGTAATAAGACCACGGACATTATCATGAAAGTTCATCTGCGTTGGTAGTAATTATAGTAAAACGTTGAACTTCATTCCAACACCCAATTTACAGAGAGATCAATTTTTCAGCGTGTGAATAAGGTCACGTGTTTGTAAACCGAAACTCTCGCGAGATCACGTTGTGAAGTGATTGGTCATTAATTATCCTGATGAAGGCGACAGTGGTCGCGGAAAATTTGATCTCTCTGTAAATTGGGTGTTGGAATAAAGTTCAACGTTTTACTATAAGACCACGGAGATTTGACCTTGGCCTTTACCAGGCTTGAGAAACGACCGGAAAGACTGGAAATTGGCCAAGCAGACAGATGATATGCCAGGGGAGGTGGTCAGCGAAAATAAGGAATGGAGACACTTATTGTAACATTACACACATACTAGTACCCGCTGGGTTAAGTATAGGTCACTACAATTTACAAAATAGATATAGAATAGATACACATATAGGAGAATAGAATAGAATAGAATAGAATAGAATAGAATAGAATAGAATAGAATAGAATAGAATAGAATAGAGTACAAATAACGTTACATATACACATTATCAAGTACCTACAATTATCAAAGTTGGGTTCTTCTCGTTTCTTAGTAATGTAAAAAGGTAAGGTAAGAAAAGGTATGTTTCATAATCGAAGGGTTGTTCATTCGAAATATAAATTTGCCTGTACTGCTAATAAATATAAGGTGTATGAAATAGGGGAACATGGATTGTATCAGACTATAAAGTTATATGTCTGTATATAAAGGAGTTTAACAGTTTGCCGCTCCCTGGACTAACTCCCCTGGCATGTCATCTGTCTATTCAGCCAATTTCTACACTTTCCAGCCGCTTTTGAAGCTTATAGAGGCGAATTCAACCTTAACTTTCTAATGAATGTTACGAATAGAATATAGTAAGATGGAAAGAACTTTATTGCACGACAATTGCACGATGTATGGAAAAGTACAATATATATTCCCTTGGATATACGGACTAGACTTTCAGCCTTGAATGCACGTTTCCGGTGGTAGAACAAGCTCTAACCCGTCTACTCGTGTATATTCCAGGTGGACTCATTATTGTTGGCACCGGGTCTGAAACACTTCAATCAGAGGTAGGATTGGCACTGGTGGATAAGCTACAAGACCTTGAGGAACGCGCTCTGCTGTCAATAGTCAACAAAACCACCCGGTCCGGTTACTTCAGGGACTGGGAAGGGACGTTTTTCGTCTGCAAAGTGACATAATGACAAATATCGTGTACAGTAGGGCAGACAGTACTTTATTACCGTTGGCCATAGAAACCTATGGCAAAATACCTGAAACAAGTCCCATTGAAATACTTTCTCACATTTCAATCTCAAACATTCTTCTGCACCCCTGGCATGTCATATGTCTATTCGCCCAATTTCTACACTTTCCAGCCGCTTTTGAAGCTTATAGAGGCGAATTCAACCTTAACTTTCTAATGAATGTTACGAATAGAATATAGTAAGATGGAAAGAACTTTATTGCACGACAATTGCACGATGTATGGCAAAGTACAATATATATTCCCTTGGATATACGGACTAGACTTTCAGCCTTGAATGTACGTTTCCGGTGGTAGAATAAGATCTAACCCGTGTACTCGTGTATATTCCAGGCGGACTCATTATTGTTGGCACTGGGTCTGAAACACTTCAATCAGACGTAGGATTGGCACTGGTGGCTAAGCTACAAGACCTTCAGGAACGCGCTCTGCTGTCAATAGTCAACAAAACCACCCGGTCCGGTTACTTCAGGGACTGGGAAGGCACATTTTTCGTCTGCAAAGTGACATAATGACAAATATCGTGTACAGTAGGGCAGGAAGTACTATCACCGTTAGTCATGGAAACCTTTGGTTAACTGCACTGAAACAAGTCCCCTTGAAAATACTTTTTCACATTTCAATCTCAAACATTCTTCTGCACCGGTCAGCCACAAGATTCTGCCTTCCAAATATAAAAAGAAAACAAGGGGTTGACCAGCTCAAACTCTGACGGCAGCTGAAAACAGTAAGTAAACTTTTGACCTAATTTTCTCATGTATCCATCTGCCCTGGGTAGGCAAGACCTCATCACTCAGGTCTCTCATTATGCCCACTTAACTGGTGAAATGAACAGAATTTGACCAAAGAAAGAAATTTTAGACCCTATCTGTTCCTTCTAGCCAAAAAGTCTCCAAACTGAACTAAAATTTTCAAGAGGAAAAATAGGATTTTCAAAGATATTGAATAGGGACTACAATCCATTTGGGGGCTTCTACTGCACAACGCAATAGTGACGTCTGCCCTACAACACTCAGCCCTGGGTAGAATATTGTCGAGTAAAGTTGAATCGACAGATGTTTGCGCTCTCGCAATGACTTCAAGTTCTTTTTTTTCTTCTTATTTGTCTGCTTTACTGTATACTGTAAACAATTCCATGGCCATGGAACTCAATAATCCACGGTATTTTAATATACATATATGATTTAATGAATGGATCATGGAATGTTACATTGTGAAGGGTATTATTCAGGAAGTCAACAACCCACTACAGTGTCTTTTAATGTATAATAATTAACATCATACTTAATATAATATAATATAATATAATAGAATATAATATAATATAAGAAGAATACTACTATCTGTGGCTTTTACATATATTAGAGGCTTGCAAATAGAAAATAGATATTTCATAGCAAATGTGACAATTCAGGGTTCTCTAGTGTCAACAGGTTGTCAACAGGTGAGAAAAAGTACCTATATTTCGTTGATTATACACATGGCTTTGACATAAAGCCAGAGCTGCCGTGTTTGTTGAGAGTCACACCTCCAGCACGTTAAATGTGCGACAAAAACAAAAACAAGAAAACGTCAAACCGTATCATCATCAAGAAAGCACACGAAAATAACACCACATCTGTCTTTCAACGCATAAATAGCATAAGCATAAATAAAGATTACGATGTACATATGACAACTTAACTACCATAGTAAATACCACATTTTGAATATTGATAATTGTACCTCCATCAATTAAAACAGCTAGTCACACAGAAAGTCATAGGAAATAGACAAAGGTTTCCATACAAGTTAACTACTGGTATCACTAGCACTGCAACAATGATCATCATGAAAACAAATTACACTGTGATAAAAAAAATACATGGCGTCTCATGGTCAAATAATATCTTGGCACATACGAATTAGACCTTTTGTACACTGCAATATTAGCCTGGTCACCAGACCAATTTTTGTCTGGTAACCAGGCTACTCCTATATGGCTATAGGCTTGAGTGCCCGGCTCTTGTAAGCTTTTAAATTCGATCCCCTCACCTTTAGTTTTGATTCAGTGGGAACATCACGTATAAAAGGAATGAAATACATCACTGCATCAAGGTAAAAGACAAAACAATAAATCAGAGCCTTGTCTCCTCTCTTCATACTTATCTACCATCCATGTTCCGGCATGGCAACAGACATATTTGCCCATTTTCGGCATATAGACCACCTTCAAAATCAGGCGAAATGTTATCCATGAAAATTACTTGCTGTGGCCTTATCTAAAGACTCCGTATTCTATCTTTACGTGTGAGATCTGTGACAAACCCTGCAGGAGCAGAGCAGGTACAGGTCTAGTCACTCACCGACGAGACCACAAACAGTGAACTGAGGGTCCGTCAGGATGAAAAGCGCTAGGATGGTAATGATGACTCTATATCACTGTGAAATCAATACAGGACATGTCGTCGACGGACTCATCACTGCTAGACGCACTGTTCTCCTGTCTAGGCGCAGGTTCTATCTGTGCTTGCACGGTGTACTTTCTCCCTTTCCGATGTACCGACGGCAATCTACTGTCCGTAGAAGAAGAGGCCCCACCCTGCGACAGTCTGGCCAGGTTGTCCACGTGGAGTGTGGAAAAGGACGACCTCGCCCTGTGGTACCGGCACGTACCGCGGATTCTACCGCTGTCTTCTGACCAGCAGCCACGTGAACCATGGGCACCGATATAAACATTGCCCTGGTACAGTGGAAAACGACAAAGGTAAGTGTAACTAACCAGTCATGGCACTGTTTTGCTATGGCACATGTACACATTCAATAATCACACATATCGCAAGGAATGCATCTTTTGTTTGGACTAGACGTCAGCAAATTTAACCGCGCTTTATAGATGGGTATTCGTAAAAAAATCATGAATTCAACTTCCTCATTCAAAACAAAACAAAACTAGAAACATTTGAAAAACAAATGCATAATATTTACCTTCACAAGGTATAACAAAAAACTACTGCCCTGTTTATTCTTAATCAAACTCATAATACTAGTATATGGTAATTACTAGCAAATGTCGACCATCCCCTCCAACAGTGACCTACCACTTGCTACTTAGTATAGCCCAACACCACAGGGTGTCTGCTACAGCACCAGTTACCAGCCGTCTGCTCCAGGTCATTGACCTTATGTGTTTGGAACGGAAGAAGAAGAAGAAGAAACTGAGCAAAAGCACTAACGTGAGTGTATTGTACACAGAAGATTTGTCCCTTCTGTTTGCGTATCCTGTTCTGTCGTTGCTGGTCCAGGTATGGGTTGTTTTTCCCCAGGCCCACTCTTCTGTACAGCCAAGGACAACACGTCTGGGTCAGGAACGACCGGAATCTGTACAAACAAACAAACAAACAAATTTAGTACAAGTAAAACAATCAATAGGGAAATAGATGATTGTACTGATTGACTGAATGCCCGTTTTTAAAGGTGGTAAAGCAACGAGAAGTGGCAGTTCTTCCAAAAAAAACTTTAAAGACCACTATAGACCGATACAACTTAAAATTTTATACGTCTACAGGGAACACTTGATCACACATTAAAATGAACATCTACCAATGCAGATGAACTTCCAAGATAATGCCATACTTCTTGTGAGCGACAGCGTATATGAGGGGGTTGAAGACACAGGAGGACTTAGCGAACATGGTGGGATATGTGGCCGCCCATAGCGGGATCTCGTTCACTAGTGTAGACCAGAAGGACGAGACGGTGTAGGGAGTCCAGGCCACCATAAACAGTATCACCATCAGGAAACACATCTGAGAGAGAAAAAAAGGTTCCGATGGTATTATTTCATTCATTTATTATTTCTAACAGGCTCATACAATGTGAGTTCTGTGATTAGTATGTAGATTATGTTCCTTTCATTTGTATATATTGTAAATATTGTAATTTGAGTTTAGAAAATCATAAATTAAACTAGATTATGTTAATTACGACCTTATTTTCATAATCAATGAGACAACCCCCCCCCCAAAAAAAAACATGTACATAAACTCATGAGGTATGAGATCTCCGAATTCTTGTTTTTGGGGGTGTTTCAGGTCTTTTTTTTTATCGGGCTTCTTTTTGTATTGGTATCTTTTTTTCGTTTGTGTTGAGCTTGCACATAGAGGGTGTGTTGGGCTGGCACAAAAAACGCCCAAAATAAATCAAAGCTCAGACATTAAGAAAAGTGTTGCATACATTGTAACCGTTACACAATTCTTCTGTCAGTCAGTTTATTGTACATAACTAACAATGTATAATACAGGCAAATATATCATAATATTTACCAACACGTAACTTCGCTCCTAGAAACAATCTTTTTTAGAATTATTTTACCAATTTTTATTAATGTTATTATTCTTTTATAATCAGTATTCATCAGTTATTTTTATTATCATTCATTATTTTCATTATCGTTATAAATTATTCATTATAATTATTATTAATTTTACATTAATTATTATGATTTTATAAATTTATTATGAATCTTTATTCAGAAATTACTGTTTAAAATTATAAGATTGTTTATTGATTAGAAACGCGGTAAGTGAGATGATGGTCTAACCATAGTGGCCCTAGTTTCCGACTGCATCCTGCTGCTGGTGACGAAGTCCCTCCTGCCGCTGGCGGTCGGAACGGCGTGTTGTCCCCGCAGGTTCAGCTTCCGCATCCGCTTGGCGATCTTGTAGTAGAAGAACACCAGGAGGAGCAGGTGGACAAGATAACAGAAGAGACAGCTCCCGATGACGTACACCATCTCGGAGGTGTCCTCCACCGTCCACTTGATACTACAAGACGTACCTGAAAGCAAGATAGTTCATCTGAATTAAACTGTTTTCCAACTCAAAGAATTTGAATCCCGGGAATTTTCGAACTCTTCATTAACCATCTATCTGGCCAGAGTGTGGTACTCGTAGATAGTTTCCGGACATGTGACGTCTGCACTGGGTCGAAGTTCGTCGGAAAATCTGTAACGTACGACACGTTACAGATTAAACTGTTTTTCAACTCAAACAAAGAATTTAAAATTTTAAATCCCCGGCCTTTGGCCTTCATCAACCATCTATCTGGCCAGAATGCGGTAGATACGGGATTTTCCGCACTCGACTGCTCTTACCGAAGAGTTCATACGTGTAGCTGCTCCACCCTACCAGTGGCGGCACCGTCCACAGCAGGCTGTACAGCCACACCCCGATCAGCGAGTAGGCCGTCACACGGTGGGTCAACTTGTAGGCTGGGCAACGAGAAAAGTTTTTTTTTTTATTAATTCAACTAAAATACTGTATTGAACAGTGCTAGTGCATGATGCCTTATAATCTATTTCACTATGAGACGCAATATCCAATACAGTAAAACAGCTAATATTATAGTTAGTTTTTATGCCCAAATGGTGAATGCCAGCTAGCTTCTTAGAGTACTAGTTGCTAAGGAAACAGGTTGCCTGGCAACAGTTGCTATGTACAGGACTTTGCTATGTACATTGGCACACACTTGAAGCTGTTCCTAATACTGTATAGAACATGTTTGCCAAGTTTCATGCTTTTTTACATTACTAGTCTGTTATATTAGTTACCATTTGTTATTCTGCTATTCTTTATGCTCGATATTACTTGAATTTAAATCATAGTTAATTTATTCTCCACATTTACGTTCTATTTATGGATCCGTGGCTAATGTCTGTATTAGTTCTTGTACTTTGTCTTTTTTTCTGTTTGTGTTATGTATCTTTTGTCAAATGCAATAAACAAAGATTTTCAAAAACGTCTCATGCTTTCATAATGCTCATAATCTGACCATGTTCTCTTCATTGAAGTCCGCACGACACACGCTCTTTTATCTGTTTCCAACTGACTTGCCTTTTTGATCACCCATGAACCTTCCTGATCCATGCTTATGAAACCTGCTCCATGCCTTTGATGAACAATGCTTGCTTTGAAACATATCAGTCGATGTTTGTCCATTTCATGTGAAAAGCTAGCCTGGTATCCAGCCTTGTTAGCTTTAGTCCGCTACCCAAGATCCGCTCCCCGCCGGATCTTGGGTAGCGGACTAAAGCTAACAAGGCTGGATACCAGGCTAGTGAAAAGCCACGACTCATTTTCGATCGGAATAATTGATGGAAAACATGTTTTTACATACGAATGCAACAATTAGATGTTGCGATTTATCCCATAAATTTAAGAAAAAGTTAAAATTTTACTTTATAATGAAGCTATAAGCAAGGAATCTATCCCTCAATAAGCAGGAAATGGTGTCTCTGAGGTTTGTTAGTTTACTTGTTTTCCTGGAAAATACCAGACCCCCTATGGTGTCTCTGATGTTTGTGAGCTTACTTGTTTTCCTGGAAAATTCTGGTGAGAATCCTGCATCTTTGCCTCTCTTTAATGACGTGGATAAAGCGTCTTACATATCGCTTATCAAAGTATCCCACTGTACTATTTCCTGCCTTGAGGATACCCCGCGTTTCCTTCCGATAATCCGCTTCAAATCGCTTGTAGAGCAAAAAAATGGAAGTATCAAATAGTTCAAAGAAGGGCGGTGATCCGAGTCATGAAAACACGACACCCAGTTAAGTTTCAAAGGCAACAAAATGGCAGAAACATTTCAGTAGTTTCGCTAGATAAATGGCAGTCATCGCGGCTTCAAGGGGCACTTAGGTCGGAAGGAGTGTGTTGTTTTTCCAATAAGGCCACACCGACTCAATCTTATGGATGACATCCTCTGAAGACCCCCCAAATTAGTGCGCGCGGGCTAATATTGTCCTTTATATGACAGTGATAGACGCATACTCTTCGGACATGTTCTAAGTAAATTTCCCCACTTCGGATTCTTAACAAGTAAAGAAAAAATTATATTCCTGTTAACCTTTGATAAACCAAATCTAACTACTCATACAGCATCGTACATTTATACAATTACTAAGAAGCGAGAAGAAGTTGAAAAGACTAAAATGCATTAGACATTTATATATACATGTACATGTAATAGTTATATGCATATTTATATGAATATGTATTCGAATATGTATAATGTGACCTGTGCTTAGCCCAGTGGGGCAAAAATGTACAATAAATGTCTTCATTCATTCATTCAATAAAAAAAATTCCTAAAGATGCTACTAAACTGTTGGCATTGTGAATTTGTGACAGTACATATATGACGTATACGACAAGCCGGCACATGCTGGCTTTGTCGGCACTGTACGTATGCAACTCGCCTTCGGTTGCCTGGGTGCCGTCCTCCATAGTTACCATCGGCTCCCTATTGTCACTAACCTACCATGGACTACCCAGGCCTAGAGCCAGGCCAGAGCCTCGGAGGACGTGATTTTTTTAGAACAGGCGAAAATCAATGCGCGCGCTGATGTCATCCATAAAATTAAGTCGGTGTGGCCTAATCTCTCATTAGATACATGATGATCAGAAATGACCAGAACGAACGGACACGATCGAACCATGTACTACTAGCCCTCGTCCTTAGATTTATTAAGACTTTAAATTATGTAAACTGTATCTTTGTTAATTATCTGACCCTTGCCTCTTCCCTCGTGACATCAATAGTTTTTTTAATAATAGCAATAATCAGCCGAATATTTGCAGGATTCCACATACAAATGAACCATATCAAGAGAACATAGGTTCAGATTGAAATCATCGACAAAACTGAACACGAATAATAAATATCTCAATAAAGTATCAAAGTAAATATGGATATCTCAATAAACTATCAAAGTATCAAAGATACAGGTGTACAATTCTTGAACTGAGATATTAAGTCATAGATAATAAGCAGAGATTTTACAAAATAAACACAAATGCGTGAGATAAATAAGATATAACAAGAGACCACAAATTGGTACAGTAGCAACGAAAGGTAATAAATGTTAATCAATACGTTATGAATACAAATTTCTTCTCTTTGCCCAGACTTGATGAATGAATACCCATGTATATTTTCGGCATCAATGCTGGAAAATGAGGACGCCAAGGCAGCCAATTTGTTGAAAAGGCTATCAAAGACCACAAAACGATCAAAAAGAGTCACTGATTGAGGAATATTCTACTACATGTAACTGATAATTCAACGTGACTGATGAACCTCTTCAACGACAAAACGATTTGTTTCTCATCTCCCAGGGTCCCACTTAACATTTACCTTCGACTTCAGTGAAGACAGACATGTCTGTTCTAATGGATACATGGGCAGCAGTTTCTTACATAACAGCCAATAATTGTTGTGTACATGTGGGTACTATAACAAATTATGACATGTGGCAGATTCTGTGAGCGATGCAAGTAATCTACCGCCGGCAGTAAAGCTCTTGTGTATTTATGTATCCTGTAGATGTAATAAGTTGACGACTTTGATTTGAATGCCCTGTCCTTATCTTACTAGTATGTAGATTGTTGTCCTTAGCTCCAGTGTTAGTGTTGAAATAGTCTTGTAACTAGTTGGGCAACCCTGGCTGTCTTTTGTACAGCTGAACCAATACAAAAACCGGACGTTCTGCTGCAGTACCAAGGTCATCCACCAGGAAGCCCATATTTGACCTTGACCTTTGTCTTCCTAAGACTTACCAGCATACCAAATATCATCACAATCCATAAAGGCGTTATGAAGTTATGCTGCGTGACTACAAATGTGCGGAAACACATACACACACAGACACGCCAAAAACAATACCTCCATTTTTCATGGAGGTAATAAACATTTACCATACTGTGGGCGGCAGAGAGAGATGTATCTGAATCCGGCTATGACGACCAGGGTGTTGAGACTGCTCATGGACAGGGTGTAACACATGAAGCCGTACAGCTGGCACACCGCGTCCCCGAACAACCAGTACCCAGCGTACCCAGACGCCGTGCAGAACGGATACCCAAATATTGAGATACCTGTAAGAATGTATTTAAAAGTCAAAATTAAGCAAAATAATTTAAAGGCTCAGAAGACCCTGTCATATATAGACGAATGTGGCCTGCCGAATACCGCAGAAGTCCTCCCAACCATGGTTAGGAGTAGGTCGTCAGCAAGGTTGGTTGTGTTAATGGGCCGTATGTATTAATGGGCCTAAATTCTCCTCCTAGCTCTGATTGGCGGATGTGTTTCCGCTAATGAGATATAGGAGGTTACCACGTAATCTTATTTTTCAAATAACTTTGTTAGCATCAACGTTTTCAATGTCTTGGGGTGGTGGGACTACGGCGCACAGATATGTCAATTTTATGTATTTAAATGTTAATTGTACTTTTTTGTTGTGTGGCGCTGTTAATATAAGTTATAAACTTGAGTGCAGCGTCACACTGTCCTTGTTATGTTTTTATGTTTTGATGAATAAAAAAAAGGTTGGTTGTGGTTGGCTGGTGTTCGGCGAGGTTGGCTACTGTTCGACTGTGTGCTAGCCGAATCACAATGTTTTAAAACGTTTAAAACATTCGGGAGGTTGGACAACGCTTGTAATTGGTTGGCTGCTGGTTGGGAATAGGTTAGCAGTGTTCGGGGCGAGTTCTCGGTCACATTTGACTCAAAATTGATCATTCATACAGAAACTTAGCCAGTCAATATCTGATCGACTATTACCAAACTTCAGCCAACCTTGGTTGAGTGGCATAACCACTACTCAACTACCAAATATCATAATTAAGATTCGTCGACAACTTTTCGAGTTAAGACGTTGACATACATACAGACCCACGCCACACTCACAGGCCAAACCGAAAACATACCCTTCTCACGAAGGCAATGAAAGGAAAATGAAAACATATAACATATATGCAAACTCTAAGCAGGTATTCCAAGTCAGACCGGTAGGACGGAAGATTGCTTAGTCAAATCGTTTGGTTTCTGTAATGAATAACTGAACAGACTTTAAAAGTTTGGTGTTGTTTGAATCTGATAGAAATTTGAAAACTTTGTCCAAGACGCCCTCACGGGAAATGGCTAATGGCCTTGTACATAATAAGAGCTTTCAGAGAGGCAAGGACATTATACTGTATAATGTCCTTGAGCGAGGCAATTTACTGCAGGTGTTCACACCTCTTGCTAACAAGAAAGATTGATGTCTGGCAAGCATAACGAGCTTACGTCCGATGTTTGTCGTCTACAGTTTTTATGCACAGTAGCATGTTCTGGACATGCGCACGGTACAGCAAAAAACTTATTAAACAAGCAGTAAACAAGGACAGGGGCGTCACTACCTAAAACCTGTATATGACTGTCTCTTGTCACGTGATTATCACATCAAATCACGTGACAAGAGAACTCCAAGACGAGATCTTAATCGGGTTGAAGAAGAGACAGAGTACGTCTCGAAAGCTCGCCAGCGTAGCTGAATTTCTGTTGTGTGTTTAAGTATAAATAAGTTGTCAAAAGCAAAAAACTTCTTGAGTGTCTTGTACATTCATCAGCTTCCCATTCCCATGACGCATTGCGCCTCGGGGTGTGTGTAAAATCTCCCAGGTTGCACAGTGCAGGAAGGCGCAATGCGTAATGGGAATTGGAAACTGGTGAATGTACAAGACACTCAAGGAGTTTCTTTTTTCTAACGACTATTCAATAGTCGCCACTACATCTTTCTAGAAGGTCCTGAAGAGATTCCTGATAAATATTCACTGATAACTTTACAAAACCAAAAATGTTATCGGCTTCATGTAATTGCATTATAAATTCAACCCAACTTCTTTATCGTTCATATCAGCACTAAGAATGTTCAGGAGAAAAAAAGATTATCAACTGTGAATAAACACTACCAGGGCTGGGGCCCTCTCTTCCCTTCCAGTCACACGCGCACTTCCAAATGGCTTTCTTAGCATTATTAGCCTCTGGAGCACGCTGTCTTTTAGCTTCTCAAAGTACGTACGCTTTCAAATGCCACTTCACTGAGCATGAATACATCTGAAGTACTTATTTTCTAAGTGCCAAGCCGGGGAGCTCTATATTCTCATTTGTAACATACTGACCTCCGTAACTGACTATCTGTAGTTCTATGAGTCGGGATTCGGGGGAGGCTTACTTTTTTTTGTTATTGTAAGAGTAGTTTTAGAGCTGTTTGTACTACCATTTCGTTTGTTCACCTGCACTTAGCCCGATAGGGCATGAATGTACAATAAAGGTTATTATTATTATTATTGTATATTGCAGTACCGACTGATGGATTCTAGCCAATTCAATACTTAGTCACCTGTAGCCTCTTACAAGACGTACCTGAGGGGGGCACTTAGTAGTACTGGTCTCATTATCTGGGCAAATATGATATTCTGGTCGGATTTTTGTACTACATGGCGATCATTTCAGCATAGTATAGCATCCTAAGGGACAGAGTTGTGTTTCTCACGTATATTTCTACCTTGTAAAAATGTTTTACGATTATGGTTTTGGGATACTATTGTTTAGCTACTTTTCTTGGGATCCCTATGATATTCTGTTTGACTATGAATACTTATCTATTTAATTAACATTCATAACTTTTCGTGTCTAGTTAGTTCCACAATGTATATGTGGCGGTGAGAATAGAAGTTGTGCGTCCAACTTCATACTGTTTATTTATTCCACCATTACTTAGTCTTTATCCCTGTAAAATCATTTGTATTGATGTTTTTGCTGAAAAAAATAGATAAATAAAAACTTAAGCAAAATGACGATGCTGTGCACAACATGTACACGGTTATGCGTTAGAAATATTGGCCTCTACCAGGCTTCGGAAGGCGGCTGGAAAGAGTAAAAATTGACCAAATAGGGAGATAACAAACAGGCCAGGGGAGTTGGTCCGCTAGAGAGTACAGTTTGCGGCATGTCATCTCTCTATTGGGTCAATCTCTACTCTTTCCAGCCGCCTCCCGAAGCCTGGTAGAGGTTAACCTTTACGATTTCACTTCATGACCGGACGCAAGACTCCCTCTGGGACCTGTCAGGAAGAATGGAACGCTGCTATTCAACCACTGAGGAGGCAATCACCATTGTGCACGGCTTGTATGGGGTTAGGTTAACGCTGACGCACACAAATTGACTTAATGAGCTATGCGCCCTGGAGGCCAACTTTTGGCAGAGTTCTTGTTCAAAGTCGTGCTCTATAACGTTAATGAGTTATGCACCCTGAAGACCGACTTTACCACCTTTGGGCAGAGTTCTTTTTCAAAATCGTGCCCTTACATAAGGTCCATGAGGACTCCAATTATTATACTAGTATTCAATATGCAATGGAAACTTGGCACAACAGGCTGAAAAAGCCACGAAGCAATTAGCGTGTTTTTACGGGCCTTGCTTTGCAAAAAATTCCTACCCGCAAAACGTTTGTCGCACGCGAAATTCAGTCCACGGAATCCAATCATTAGACTTGACACAACAAGCTGAAAAGGCCACGAATGAATAGCATATCTTACGGGGCTTGCTTTGACCTTCATTGGTAGAGAACAAAACAAAATTCATACCCGCAAAACTTTCGTCAATCATACCCGAAAAAAATTCATTAAAAGTCATTTTAAGAATCAAATACAAAAAAAAATAAAAATAAAAATAGAAATTATAAAAAAAATAAAAAATTAGAAATAAAAAATCATTAAAAAATCATTTTAATAAAATATCATTAAAAAATCATTTTAATGATTTTTAATGATTTTTTATTTCTAAAAAGATCTTTTAAAAAAGATCTTTTTAAAAACTCTCGTCCAACTTTCATCGCACGCGAAAAGTAATACCTGTGCTTTGTTCAGTACTGTACTGTGCTCAAACGATCTCTGCCTTTGTTAAAATTCTAGCAATAGCTACTGATGTCATGTCTGGCACCTTCCTGTCTAGGTCTAGGAAACGTAGCCATTAGACAGGTCTTGGATGTCAACTTCGTTCTAGAGTGTCTAAAGCTTTTTCTACGAAAAACATGTGCGACGAGGTCCCTGTGCGTGTTATTAATAGAAAAGAGACAGACCCTGACAAGGGATTCTTCGGCAGAACACTACAATGCCGCTCAACTAGAAACCACAATCAATCGTTGACAATACACATCTTGATTGGGCTTGCCCAGATGTGTTGGGAGTTTCTAGGGGGCACAAACACAGTGGTGAACTAGAAGGGTAACATTCGCAAAGAAAATGCATAATGTTAACCTTCACTTGGTCTGGCCCGCCAACAAACTACTGCACTGTTTATTCTCAAAGTCAAATACAGTCATGTGTATGGAACGTGACCAGCTATACAATGTAACCCAACACCACAGGGTGTCTGCTACAGCACCAATTACCATGGTGACAGACGTCTGGCCCAGGTTATTGTATTACTAGTAACTTAGCCCCCGCTCTAACCGGTTACAGGCGGTCCCTTGCCCCCGAGAAGTAACAATTGGTCGTCTGTAACTAGTTAGCCCCCGTTCTAACCGGTTACAGGCGGCCACTAGCCCGCTGAATCTGATTGGAGATTACATAACGATGAATAAAACATGACCATGCTCACCGAGGTCGCTGATCGCTAGGTTGAGGATGAGAATGTTGTGCGGTTTGGAGCGGAACTTTTTCTGACGGGCGTAGACGACGATGACAGAGCCATTCCCCAGCGTAGCGATACAACCTATCATAGAAAGCATTGGAGAAAAGAAATAGTTAATTGCTTATTCACCGACAATGTTTAAGTGGAGAATGTTTTAAGTCAATTCTTTTCTGTGACTTGAATGCATTGTTTTCAGGGGCACAATAGAAATCGTTAGTTGTTTCTGTTTTTCACAGCGAATTCATAGTCTCCACCAGACTACTTTTGCAGGCTGAATACATCATAGAAATCGGTCTAAAAAGGGATGATTGGCCAGAGAAGGTAGCCGGCCACGCAGGTCGATTGAACCCGCGATGGCCAGCTACCTTGTCCTGGCCAATTATCCCTTTTTAGACCGATTTCTATGATGTATTCAGTCTGCAAAAGGAGTCTGAACCTCAGATGTCAGACGTTTCCGGTAGCATCAACAACCTTTCTAAATTATAAATGACGGCAGTATCGTTAAGCTTGATTGATATCTTCTTTGGTTTGACCTACATACGACGGGGACAAAGATAGTCATAGAACAGAAGTGCATCTCTGTCGAGATAACACTCACTGTCTAGACGTCTACTGCATAATCAATACAAATCGCAACAATTACAACAATCAAATAATACAAATGATACACATATTTGTCGCAAGGGTCTGTGCGGCTGCCATTCGGCGCCACAAGGTGACCTCAATACGACTTTCCCCAACCGAAGTTAGGTACCCATTCACACCTGGGTGGAGTGAGGAAAGTCGTGTAAAGTGCCTTTCCCAAGGGCACAACGTCGGGGCGCATGTTCAGACATGTCCCGGGTACGACCCGGAATCGAACCCGGGTCTCCCGGTTCATAGTCGATTGCTCTATCCACTACACCACCCGACGCCACTGATTATGTGATACCCTGCATCAATTCAGCCGTTAAAGGCTGCGACTGCACGGGTACTGTTTGGATAATAAAAAAATAAATAAAAAAAAAACATTTATATATACAACTTAAGGATATCTCTTCAATCATCGATAATGCCAAGGTGCTTGGCGAGCGCGTCTCATAGTGTAGTTAGGCCACACCGCCTTAATTTTATGGATGACATTGGCTCCTTGTTTGATTGATGTGTTCGGATATCAGTGGTAATAATTCCCAATGTGAAGCACTTCAGCATGAATGTCTAGTTTTAACGTTACTGTCCTGGAACCGTGCGTGACTGAAGTGTGTTAGGATTACCATGATGTCTTATCAATATTTTTGAACTTAAATAAAATGAAATAAAGTAAAGTAAAGTAAAGTAAAGTAAAGTAAAGTAAAGTAAAGTAAAGTAAAGTAAAGTAAAGTAATGTACATGTAATGTACATGTAATGTAATGTAAAGTAAGATGAGATGAGATGAGATGAGATGAGATGAGATGAGATGAGATGAGATGAGATGAGATGAGATAAGATAAGACAATATAAGATAAGATAAAGGCTTAGAAGTATCCTAAAGAACGAACCAGTGCGCGGCAACATGTATGTTGGTGAAGTATACGTGTCAAGTATCTCTTTGCTTCTCAAGTAATCTTGCAGTCCAATTACGAGCTAACTTTACTCTGAAAACTAATGAGCTCCCCTAATGAGGGCTACAGTACGGGGCCTTCTTTTTCTTTGAAGACGTGTAACAAGAAAACATGCGAACAACAAATCAAAGGCATTCGGTCAATACTTATTTCTCGAAATTGCTTTTTGCTGTCTAATGGTTTTTCTTTGAACTTCGCTGTGTGAGTTTTCGTCACTCTCCAATCATACCGTTTTTTTCCTGGCATTTAATATGACCTAATACGGTTTGATCAAGCTACACTTGTTGCAATTAGTCCCTGTGGACTATGATGTAGTGTAGGTGTACATCCGTGAACACAACGTATCTGTCCCATGTGAAAGGAGATAGGAACGGGCAATTTTTACCTATGAAAAATGGAGGTATTGTTTTTGGTCGGGTCGTGTGTGTGTGTGTGTGTGTGTGTGTGTGTGTGTGTTTCCTCACATTTGAAGTCAGCATAACTTTAATATGCCTTTATGGTTTGTGATGATATTTGGCATATTTGATATGTTGGTAGGTCTTAGGAAGCCAAAGGTCAAGGTCAAATATGGGCCTCCTGGTGGCTGACCTTGGTACTGCTGCAGAACTTTTGCAAGGTTTTTGCAAGGCAGTGAAAACAGATGTGCGGGGTGGAGGCAGCGCGCCTGCCCGGTTTGATTAATGAGGTTCTCCCTCTGGAATAGGCTATATGACCAGATGTTGACCATATCTATTGTAGCCTGACCTATTTCAGGCCAAAGGTGCTACTGTGTGTTTGAAAACAAAAACCTGTGTTATTTTGTTCTGTACTGTAGTGTACTGTGTAAAAACATTTAGAAAAACTCATATATTTCATGGAGGTATGAGATCTCCGAATTCTTGTTTATATATGTAAGGTTTGTAACTGTGATAGCGCAGAAAATGAAAGACATTTTGTACTTGATTGTAAATTGTATGATGCCGAACGCGACATACTATTTAGAACAATCCACTTAGACAAACTGTGGAACAAGAAACAAAGAAAGAGATATTCAGAACAAAGAAAGAGATATTCAGTCATCTCATGTCTACCAGTGATGGCCACACAACAGAAAGACTACGTGAATTCATCTCCAGTTGCTTTGAAAAAAAGAGAGAAGAAATCTTCAAGACCTAGATTAGATAGAATGTATTCTCTAGTAATTCCTAAGACTTTTATGTTATTCTTTTATCCTACTATCCTATGTATTATGTTACTCAGTATGATGTACATGTAACATCACACTCAGTATGATGTACATGTATGCCCCGTGGGCATTAACATGCAAAGACAGATCCATGTATCATCGTAACACAAAGCAATGGCGTTCTTTAATGTTTCTGTGACATCAGCGAAACCTCATCAAGTGTAGTTAATTGGGACGACCCATATTCCTCCATACGTAAGAGTGTAACTTCTCACTATATAAAAACACCCCCGCATAAGCCAATGTTAGACACCCAGGTATATATTATATTTATACACTATACAAAATACACCAAACAACTGGATAAAATCTTTTAAAGAGTCTGTGTCTTTGCAAAAACCGCAAAATTCGCATAACCGCGGGAATTTTTCTCCATGAAATTCGGAACTTTTTCCGACGCCAGAATGAATGTGACATGCCTATGTAGTCATATGTGACAAATAGATAGATAGTATCTCATTACCTGGATTAGTTATGACTTATGAGTCTAGTTATAACCAATCTTCATCGAAGAATGTTAGGAACTGTTAGAACAAGTCTGTAAATGTCTAAGAAATCTAATTTAAAAAAAAACATTAATTCTGCATGTCTTGAGCAATGACGCACTGGATCGGAAAGTTTTGCCTCATTTCTAGTCCCAGATTTATTTATTTATTTATTTTTTATTTGTTTAATATTAAGACAGCTGGGTAGCTCGGTTCAATTTTACCAAATTGATTTTCTATGGGGCCCAGCACATTAAAGACCCGAAAGCAATTTCCAGGCAGTAAAACTACATTGGCAATACAAAAATATCCATGAGAAATGGTATTTAGCGGAAGCGCTTGTTTCCGGAGGAGTGAAGGTAGTATAACCTGTCCTTGGTGCTGAATACGTTCTAATTCTGCCACAACAAGAGATCCTAGTCAAGTCTCTGGTCATTTTTTATGTTGAGAACCGACCCCCATGGTTACCAGAAGAGACTGTAATTAACTTCATTGTGTACAGAGAAAGGAATGACGACAAGGATCTCTTGTTGTGGCAGAATTAGAACGTATTCAGCACCAAGGACAGGCTATACTACATTCACTCCTCCGTTGTGGCAGATCTCTTGTGGCAGAATTAGAACGTATTCAGCACCAAGGACAGACTATACTACATTCACTCCTCCGGATACAGGCGCCTCCGCTAAATACCATTTGTCGTGGATATTTTTGTATTGCCGTCCTAAAATTATATTGGTTTCCTTTAACATTTAGCCTAGGTCCTCCGTAGTTATCGTTGGCTAGCCTTTTCGCCCCCTATCCGTGGTAGGAAGGCGAAAAGGGAGAACCAGCTAGCGGTACACGAAGGATGGCATCCAGGCTAACAGTCCCGTTTCCGTTTTTTTTCAATTCGACATGGATAATACAGGACATGGTGGTGAGGTACTCTAGCTATAGCTAATTTTAACCTCACCACCACACATACAGGTATACAGCTACAAAATACATGTCAAAAACAACAGGGAACAGCAAATGCGTGGAAATGGCAACACGGTGATTATGGTAATGAATAATAATGAATGGTAAGGAAGAACATCTTTTGTTGGCGTTAATCTAATACAAACCGTTTAGTATCAATAACGTAAGTTTGGGTGATTGTCAAAATGTTACAGTTTGTTTATATAAGAATTGTTCGGACATGTTATGTACATCAATGATAGAGCCTACCAAGTTTGGTAGATTGCTGCGTAGGGTGCCTCTTTGCTGATTATATACTGGGCAGTGTAACAGAAAATGTATAACGCTCCCGTTTCCGTTTGATATAGTGACTGAACATTGCGCTGGCAGGTGGTGTGTTATTCGTCAGAAAACCCCTAGCTTTACACTAATCCCCAAACAGATCTTTCGGGGGCCGCAAAGACAGTATCAAATTGGCCAGGCAGTATCCATTGGCCACCCGGGTGGTCTATTTGATACTGTCTTTGCTCCCACCGTAAGATCTACTTGGAAATTAGACTTTTATGTAGTGACCATCTTTCTTAGTACAGCTTATTCTTGCACTACGCCTAATCCACATTTTTTGTTTAATGTCAAAGTTTGTCATGCATACTTGTCATATTATCGTATTTACATATTTAATGATAATAATAACGTCTATTGCAAGTACATGCCCGAGAGCTAATTGCTAGGTACAAACAACATGTACGAAAAATGAAAATACAATGATATAAGAGACTACGTCTAACATTGTACTACATTCTACAACATACATGGTTCTAGTTTTGTTGGGTTTTTCTTCTTCTTTTGAGGCAGTGGGAG